AAAAAAAAATCTTAAAAAGAGGCCAGAATGGTATGATGTAATAAGGTCATGGATATAAGGTGTTATGAACCCCAGTGGTGGTAGAAATACTTTTCTAAGTGAAAAGTAAAAATTCACTTTGCACATAAATAGAACTTAAACATCTTACAGGCTTACCACATCTTTAGTTACCAGCACAGCTAACAATTTAACCATCTCTCTGTAGCTTCTGCCTTAGTTTAGAGTCTGTATTAGTTAAGTTTGTTGTTGTTTCTCATTTTATTTTTTGGTTTGTTAATTGTTTACGAGTCCCGCTATGTTGCCCTGGCTAGCCCGGAACTTGCTATATAGACCAGGCTGGCCTCCCACCTCTGCTAGGATGAAAGGCATGTGTCACTACACCTGAATTTGTTAGTCAATTAAGAAAGATCACCAAAAATAAACAAACAAACAAATAAATAAATAAGTAAAAATAAAAAATAAAAAGAGTACTATAACAAAATATTTGCAGTGTTCAACTTAAAAAAACAAAAGTTTGTTTTCATAGTTTATAAGTTCCAGTTCATCGGTCAACTGGTGCCTTTCTTTGGGCATATCATGTTGGAAATGCATGCAGAGTCAAACTGTTTACATCATGAGTCTGGGAGCAAAGAGTATGGAGGGAGCTGGGGTCCCATAATGTCCTTTTAAAGGGCTGCCCCGATGATCTGCTCACTAGTCCTCATTTAAGGACTCTGTCCCACCTTGTCTCAACGGTGCCACACAGGGCCCCACATCTCTAATACATGAGTCTTAGGGAACATTCTAGATTCAGCAGAGTCATGTTTTTGATTTTGATGTAATTCTGTGATCTGTCCTTGACTTTTTAGAATTCCGATGCAAGTGTTCTCTTCCCACCTGTCCTAGATAAGCTGCGCACGGTTACCCCTCCTATCGCCCATTGCCTTCCCTGCTTGTTTTCACTGAATACTGTGCCGTCTTGCAGACTCTGGTGTCCATTTGTTTATTCTCTTACCAGTAGAGTGCAAGCTTCATGGGGACAGAGTTTTTCTTCTCACCACTTCATCCTCTGACACACAGGAGAGCACCTGGCACCTGATAGTCAGCAAATGTCCTTTTCCTGAACCATTCGAAAACAATCCTTTGAGAGTTGTAACCCCCAGGCAGGCTGACTGGCTGCTCTCCGTGCCCATATGAGTTCCCCCCAGAGTGGGAGGGGACTAGCTCCCTGGCTTTTGATGTTATTCTTGAGGCTCTCTGAAGCCTAAGAGGCTCAGAGCCAGCTTGGGCTGGTTCGTATTAGACGTGGAAGCCATGGGAGGAGAAGAGGCGTGGCATCGTGTTCAGTGGTCCAATGTGCCATTCATTTTCCTTGGTGAGACAGAAGCCCACGACAACTAGAAATGGAACAGCCGTGCCTGTGGGGAAGGTGGAGAATTCGCCTGTAATTTTGTGTTGCACTGTTTTCTCTGTGCTGGTTCCAGGATTACTGTGGCATGGCGTGGTCAGTGCTAACGCAAAGATTCAAAAATGGCCTCTTTTCTTCACATGCGGACGAGCATCGACTCAAGTAAGCGGATTTCTTTTCTGCTGTAGACACGGCCTTCAAACATGGGTGGCAGATTACAGTGGACAATCGGCGAACAGTACGGGTCAGATTTTAGGCTGAAGGAGAATTTGGTTATTTCAGATTTTGGTTTTCTGGAGGATTGGGAGCAAACAGTGTGTTCGTTTCTGTGGCAGGAAACCAGTAGTTACCAAAGAACTCTCTCCAAGTGATGAGTGTCAACAGTGATGACCTTTTTATTTTAAACATTTTATTGTAGAAAATTAGCTGAAAAGTTGTGTCTTAGGGTTTCTATGGCTGTGAAGAGACACTGTGGCCACGGCAATTCTTATAAATGAAAACATTTAATTGTGGTGGCTTACTTTTTCAGAGGTTTAGTTCCTTATCATCATGACAGGAATCCAGGCAGCAGACAGGCAGACATGGCGCTAGAGAAGGAGCTGAGAGTTCTTACATCTTGACTCACAGGTAACAGGAAGTAATCTGAAACACTGGGTGTGGCTTGAGCATATATGAAACCTCAGAGCCCTCCTTCATAGTGACACACTTCCTCCATCAAGGTCAGACTTCCTAATAGGGCCACTCCCTTTGGCCTTTGGGGGCCATTTTCTTTAAGAGTGAAAATGTAACTGTTAACTAGTTCAACATATTTTCAAGGATTCATAATCCCCCCATTTGTAAATGTTTAGTTTGAATAATTCAAAGGTGCCAGGCATGGCGGTGCACACCTTTAATCCCAGAACTCGGGAGGCAGAGACAGGCGAATCTCTTGAGTTCGTGGCCAGCCTGGTCTACAGGGTGAGTTCCAGGATGACTAGGGCTACAAAGAGAAAACAACAAAAAACAAAAGGAAAAAGAAAAGATAAATTCAAAGGCACAAGCAAACATAAAATAGTGCAACGAATCCCTGTATATCTGTCACCCAGCTTCCCTTATGACAGTAACTCCTGCCGGTCTGGTTTTTCATTATGCAAATCATGGATGTTGTACAAACACATCATAGTTATTTCAGGATGTTCTCTGAAGACAGGGATCTTGAACATCAAGACTGGAGAAAACCATAGCCACAGGCTCACTTTGGCTCTACTTAGTTGGCAGTTTTCATTTTACTCTTTTGACTCTTGGGGGCCCACCACCCAGCTCCCAAATACATACACAGAGTCTTATTCTTACTTATAAATGCCTGGCCTTGGCTTGGCTTATTTCTAGCCAGCTTTTCTTAAATGATCCCATCCACCTTTTGCCTCTGGGCTTTTCCCTTTCTCTATTCTTTATGTCTTTGTTTACTTCTTCCTCGTGGCCTTCTGTGTAGCTGGGTGGCGAGCCCCTAGTCTTCCCCTCCTCCTCTTTCTCGCTTCTCAGTCTTTTCTTCCCAGATTTCTCCTCCTTTTTATTCCCTTTGCCTGCCAGCCCACATAGCCTTTCTCCTGCCTGGCTATTGGCTGTTCAGCTCTTTATTAGACCAATCAGGTGTTTTAGACAGGCAAAGTAACACAGCTTCACAGAGTTAAACAAATGCAACATAAAAGAATGCAACACATCTTTGCATCATTAAACAAATGTTCCACAGCATAAACCAATGTAACACATTTTCAATGAATTTTCCACAACCTAGAGGTGAAAGCAAGGAGAAGCTGGCTGTCTGACATCTGACAGAAAAGCATGGGTTCCTTCAAAGGAATGCATTACAGTTCTATTTTCTTTTTAGATTTTAAAGCTTGACAGACTTCCTTCTCGCCACTCAGGTATCAGTGTTTTAAGTCAGCGTGGATGTACCAAGTCCTGCACGAGGGGTTCCACTTCCCCTATGACTACCCAAACCTGCAGACAGCGCAGCTGGTGTACGACCGGGAGGTGCAGTGGACGCTGGGAGCCATTCTGTATAAAACCCGATTCCTGCCTCTCAGGTAAAGTCAGACGAAGCAGGCTGCCCTGACCTCAGAGGATGTTAAGTCAGTGCCTCAGAATAGATTTCTCCAGTGAACCACTCAACTCCTCCGCCCTCCAGAGACGCCCGCAGTTTCTTCCATCTGAGCCACTGCTCCAGTCAGGCGCGCTCGAACAGAAAGGCGGAGACGGACTGACCTGGAATCCCTTCTAACCTTTGCATTTCAGCAAGCTGGCTTTACTGGCCCTCCAACAGACCGGTCTTTAGGTGTGGGCTCCTACCAAACGCTTCTAGAATATGCACTGGTGACCTGAAATGTGAATCTTAGTTAGTCTGTAAAACGTATTTGACAGGGCGTTGAAGGAGGCAGTCTGGGCAAAGCACTCTTTCCTAGTGGATAGAAGCATTCCAGAAACGGTGTCATTGACCTGGCAGTCTGTGGTGGTCTAGCACTAGAAAAAGGACCTGACATGGGTTTTTTTTGTTTTTGTTTTTGTTTTTTGTCTGTCTGTCTGTCTGTCTGTCTGTTTGTTTTGGTTTTTCGAGACAGGGTTTCTCTGTTTTGGTGCCTGTCCTGGATCTCGCTCTGTAGTCCAGGCTGGCCTCGAACCCACAGAGATCTACCTGGCTCTGCCCCCCAAGTGCTGGGATTAAAGGCGTGCACCACTGCCGCCCGGCTCTGACACGGTTTTAAGATGGGTATTTTCATCCGGTTATGGGAGACCCATGCCTTGCCGTTCTGTGCTGTAAGATATTTGGGACATGTTTTAGGTCCTCTTTCCTAGGCCAGGTTCAGATAAAATAAGATGGACTTTTTCTCTCCTGTGCCTGGTCCTCCAGACTCTGTGATCAGGAACCAGACGGTGTGTACCAACCAAAGGACTGATTCCTGTCACTCAGAGGTGCTGCCTGTCCCAGCATTTGCCCAGAGAAATCAGAAATCCATATTTTATATGAAATCCTCCCATTTGAAAAGTTACATTTTTAAAAACCATTGCAGGTCATACAAACAAAAATGGATCTAATGCCTGGATGATGCAAGAGTGGCATCCTAGCCAGGCCAGTAAACCAGTGTTCTTTGGTTTGTACAATGCTGTTTGTCCAGGTGATGCTGCTACAGCTGCTCAGGCCACAACTGCCTTCGTGTATAGAAATGCTAGATCCTAAGAATATTACAACTTTTTTTTTTTTTTTTTTTTTTAAGGAGTAGACACATTCAGTTTGTCTTGTTTGGATTCAAGGGATACCCTGTTCTTAGTACTGTATTTGCAAACTACATTTTCAGATTTATGTTACAGCCAGTGTGGTGGCACGCGTACACTTTTAATCCCAGCATTGGGAGGCAGAGGCAGGTGGATCTCTGAGTTGGAGGCCAGCCTGATCTACAATACTGAGTTCCAGGATAGCCAGGGCTCAAAATGAACAGACAAACCAAAAAGCAACAAATAATGATAACAACAATAAAAAAAAATTATTTTGCAGGTGACCAGTTTTGTCTTTACTTTATAAAAAAAAAAACAAAACACTTTAGTTTCAGTGGCCTTTTGACTTTGTCTCCACATTCTGCAGCATCAGAGCCCACGGGGCTCCTCCTCCTGTAGGCCAGGGGAAGGAAGGTTCAAGAGGTCAGCCCTTGGGCTGGGGACGTCCTTAAGCTTAGCTTGCTCGGGGCAGCTGGTTTCTTAGGATGTTTGAGTGGATAAGTGGGACAAACTCAGTGGACCCTTCAAACCTCGGCCCATGTTTCACTCCCCAGGGACCTTCGGCAGGGAGCTGTCCGGCAAGCCCACGGCGGCTGGTTCCGCCTCTCCTTCGTCTACAACCACTATCTCTTCTTCGCTTGTACCCTGGTGGTGCTGCTGGCCATCGTCCTGTACCTCCTGCGAATCCACAGAATTCACCGCCGACAGACTCGAGCCTCAGCTCCACTGGACCTGCTGTGGATCGAACAGGTGGTTCCGATGATTGGGGTGCAGGTGGGGCCCTGAGGCCGGACCAGAGCTGGAGGAACCCCAGGACTTTAGGAGTGCTGCTCACGGAATGCCTCCACTTTCCCGAACTGGCCTCGGATGCTGCTTTGGCCTGGGAATTTCTACTTTTTCACTTTCATTCCTTCTTAGTGCCCAGGACAGGACCTTTTCTCAGAAGCCGTAACCTAATTTGCGAGGAACTAAGTGGCGAGAGGCTGGTGCTAACACAGGGGACTAAGCTTAGCCCAAATGAGCATGCTTCTCCTTTATCTCGGAAATCTGGTATGTTTCTGGGATGTAGCGTTTTCCCCTCTTGCTGAAGCAAGTTTTTGATTGGGCAACTGGAATCGCGGTTGAAACCCACTTGGATCAACTGATACAAAGCCAGAGACGTTGTGCAGCTGCCCCTGCTTTCTCTGTAACAGAGATATCCTTATGTGGAGATCCACAGCCTTGAATAGGGACCCAAGATCTCTGAGGTTCAGTGGACCAGGATCTCAAGGCAACCCAAACGATACAAGCTCCTTGCTTCCTTGACATCCCCGACAGGGTTGCTGTTGTTATCTAGATGGAGAGGTTAAAACCCCTTTACAATGAAGATCTGACAGTATTTTATCTGATATTTGGTCTGGCCAGTACAGAAGACGTTTCCATGTCTGTGTGCCTCACGGGCTGTTGGGCATCAATGTTGCCTTTTGAGCCTTAAGCGTGCTTATAGAATGGAGCAGCTGTGATGGGAACTGGGGACCTGGTTTGCCTGTTTTCAGGCAAATCTCACAGGCGTATTTTTCTGTGCAGAAGATTGGAAGCACCTTTCCTCATTTCAGTGCTAAGATCTTATCTATTTTGGGATGGGATGTATTTGGGGGTTTTTGTTTAAGGAAGAATAGGATCAAGAGAGTGGGCAAAGGCAATAAATCAAAGTGTTTTTGTTTTTGTTTTTTTTTGTTTTTGTTTCTCCTTTTGGTTTTTCAGACAGGGTTTCTGTGTAGCCTTGGCTGTTCTGGAACTCACTCTGTAGGCCAGGCTGGCCTGAATTCAAACTCACAGAGATCTGCCTGCCTCTGCCTCCTGAGTGCTGGGATTAAAGGTGTGCGCCACTATGCCTGGCTTAAAATCAAAGTTCTTACCTATTTTTGGAATGCTTGAAAGAGCAAATTCTAAACTTTGGAACAACTAGATAAATTTCCCATGGAGCAGCCTGGCCACTTTTTGGACATGTCACAAATAGCACTTCCTTTACGGGGAGAGGAAAGCCATATCCATGTTCTCACCCACGGCCTCTCACACTGGCTCCTGTGCAGCCCGTCTTGCAGTTCTGTGAAGAGTCAGTGTTCATTAGCTCCTCCCTGCCCACCATGAACGGACTCTTATTTCCATAGAAAACCATGAGGGGCCTGCCTGGGATTGTTCCCAGGGTGGAAGTAGTAGCTTGACTTCCTCTTTTTGGGAGTAAGGCAAGTCTCTTGAGCCCAATTTTTTAGGTAGCCAAGGCTAGCCTTGAACTCCTGATCCTGCCTCCATCTCCTCCAAGTGCTGGGTTTAAAGGTGCATCCCAAGACCTGGCTCATTTCCTTTCCTCTTGCCAAATCCTTTTATTTGTAGGGTTAGAATAGAGAATAAAAAAGTCAAAATTTAAGGAATAAAAATTGATTTCTTTGAAAATATATTCCATATTGGGAACAGAAAGGAATGAAATACTTTATGAAATAGAGAAAAAAAAAACAAAAAACAAAAAACTAAAATGGTCCTAGGGAAGCCAAGGTGAAGACAAGTGTATTGACTCTGCGGTCAGGCAAGTTCTGAATTATTTTCCTTTTCCTTTTTTCTGAGGCAGGGTCTCATCATATGACCCAGGCTGGCCTGGTACTCAGTGAGCCTCCTGCCTTAGCCTTCTGAAAGCTGGGGTTACAGGTGTGCATCACTGTGTGCACATTAGATAAGGAGACATCTAGCAAAGAATCCTTCACTTTTACATCTTTTACTTTTCATCGGGACTGTCATTGACATTTTAAATTTTAAGCATCTCTTGAATTCTGATTTTGACGTCCCATGAGTGAGCCTTTGCCTTTTTAATGCTGCTTTAAGATGACAAAGATGTCCTTGCTAGCCATTTGCCTCCTCAGGGAACTTTTAATTTCATCTTGGTTTCTATATGCCAGTTTTGGTGTTCTTGGGAGATCTAGTTCCCAGTGACCCGGGTTTGTGTGACTTCATTGCTCAAACTGAGGTTGGAGGAGGGAGGAGGGGACCGGTCCAGTTTGGAGGCTCTCCTCACTGAACTTACACTTTGCCCTTTGCCAAGCACTTACTTTGTATTGCTCTTTAAGACTTCATGTGTTCTTTGTATATTATTTAATCATTATGACAGCCTTTTGGACTGATAGCCCTACATCCTTTTTATAGTTGAAAAAAAAAATCTCAGGATGCCTATCTTTATCATTTTTCAATATAAATATATTTCTTAATTTATTTTAATTAGTCTTTGAGTTTTTGTTTGGTACATTATATCCTGTTTACTGTTTTGACATTATGGGATCCGGACTTACCCTTATTGATCTAAGACTTCCCGGAGTTCCACAGACTGAGAACAAGAAGGGACACTTGGCTGTGTGATTGAGAAGAACTGAGCATTTTGTTCTTGACTGGTCCCGGGTGCTTCCGTCACCCCTGTTGGGCACATTTCCCGGGGAATCAGGCAAGTTTTCACTGCAGCTGTTGTAGTCTTTTTTTTTTTTTTTTTTAATACTTTAGGGTTTTACTTTTAAGCAATTAGCTTAACTTTGCACAATTTTTTTCCTAACCACAACATTCCCGACACATAATTACAATCTGAATGAAGGTACAAATGCCTAATAGAGATATCTACCTCATTGGAGAACTTGGTGGTGATTCTTGGGCAGTTTCCAGATTGAGATTTGTGTGATTTCATTTCGGTTGGGATTAGGAATTACAGTCAGAGTAGCCGTGGCTGTTTCCGTCTCCTTAGTCCGTCTCCTAGTTTATGCTTAGCTTCAGTCTTGCTGTTGGCATGATAAGACTTCTGCCAAACTTGTGAAGATTTTGTTGGTGTTACAAAAATTACTATGTTCAAAAGTGAGATGTCAAAACCAAGTTTGGTACCTTTGACCAACATAGAGTAACAAATATTTTTGTAAACAGTGAATGCATCTGAAATCAAATACTTTTAGGTAATGTTCTGAATCCTGAGTGACTCTGTCCTGGACCTCCACCTTGCTCCTAACTGGGATCTGATCTAACTGGAAAGCTCTTGCACCCTACTTGGGTTTGTCAATGCTGGGGTTTCTGCTTCTGTGGGTGGCTCCTTAAGGGTCTATTGTAAGCCAGCTTTGTCTTGTTTTATATCCGAGCAGGCTGCCATTGTAGTATTTCACATTTCCCCTTGCCCCAGTATTTCATTATTTTTGTTTCTTAATACTATTATTAGAGGGACAGAAGAAAATCACACCAACAGATCATTTTGTTTTCTGGAAATCTGAGCAATAAAGAGATCCTTTTATAAGTGGAATTATTGCTCATATATAAGGGCTTCCATTTTTTTCAATTATAAGGAGATCATTGCTTCCATTTTTATAAAACCAGAGTTGCAAATATTCTGAGTCATAGGAGGTCTAGTCATGCATGCATGTCAGACAAGCTTGAAAATGTGTCTCCTCCTGAGCCCTCTTTAAAGTAGGACAACTGCTGATAGACATCCCCCGCCCCAGCCTGCTAGTCTGTTCCCTCTGTGTGTCACTGTTTACAGGAGTGCAACACCTGAGATCACTTATGAAGAGAAAAGGGTTGTAAGGATTCAGTTTTAGAGTCCAGCTCAGTAGTCCAGGGCCCCTTTTGCTTTGAGCCTGTGATGAAGAAGTGTACTTTGTGGCAGAACTGCTTAGCTTACAGCCAGGATGCAAGAGAGGAAGACATTGGGAGTCTCCTATGTCCTCCAGTGACTTAAAGACCTATGAAGCTATGCCTGCAAGGGTCCCAGCATCTCCCAATAATGTCACCCTGGGACCAAGCCTTTTACACATGAGTCCTTGGAGGACATTCCAGCCCTAAACTACAGCATGATTTGAAGGCAGTCCTGGCAGTTCCTAAGCAGCCCACCATGGAGCACGACCGAGTTTGGCAGTCAAGGATTTGCCTCTTCAGCTTCTTAAGGCTGCCTCTGCCAGCAGGTGTTTCTGCTTCAAATTCTCCTTCACAGTTTCTGTCTACTGAAGATGATCTTTACCTCTAGTGTGGTCCCTGCAGTGGCCATGGCATCTCCACGGTGATCTACAGTCAGATGTGCTGCACCTGTGGCTAGGCCTGCTTTCCAGATGCTTCACATTAGATAAGAATTTTGTGGAATTCTTAAATTTCATGAATAGTTCTTAATATTCTGATGAACATAAAGTTCTAGAAAATGTGTACTGTGCTGGAATGGTGACTCAGTCACCCTCATGTGGGGGCATAGCTCGGTGTTACACATGCCAATCTATAAGCTACCATTCACCCCAGGACCAGAAGGAGGGCGGCAGGGAAACTGTAAAATCACGGTTCTCCAGAGTCGGTCTTTGCAACCAACCTCACTTGTGGCAGTCGCTAACTCTGCCATAGTAGACGCTTATCTCAGAGTAGGTTAGTCAACAATCTGGGCCACTGAGATAGCTCGGCAGGTAAAACCACTTGCCACATAAGCCTGGCAACCTGAGTTTGACCCCAGAACCCACACCAAGGTGGCAGGAGAGAACCGATTCACACGAGTTGTCCCCTGACCTCTGCATGCACATGCATGTATAGTATGGATTCCCCTGTCATATACATGCACACAAAATAGTAAGTAAATTCTTAAAAAAATTAAATGATGTAATGAGAGTTATGGCGTAATCAACCCAAAGGGGCTGGTAAAAGGAAAAAATTAAATCCTGGGTTAGCTGATTGAAAATACATGTTTTAATTACCTTTATGTTTAAAAACAATTGACAAAACTGTTGATAGACTGTTGAAAACATTAAAGGAAATTTATTTGATCCTTTAAGTGTACAATGGCCTTTTCTGAACTAGACATTGGAACATAAAATCAGTAACTTTATTATTCCCACCAATTCATGCTTCCCTCATTCAGTATTTGGTATCTATCAGTATTTGTAAATCATACAAATACAAAAATAGTTAAGATGTATCTGTTCACCAGGAGCGCACAGAAACTGTAATACAGTTAAATAGCTAAATACCAGACCTGTTTCCTGACATGCTCAACTGTAATAAAAGTGAAGTAAAAGATCTGAAGTACTTTTCCCTGGCCTCCAGGGGCACCTGTACACAGTAGGAACACAAAGACACACACAAACACATAAAAGATGATCTTCACTTCAAAATCTAGCTAGTTAGCTGCTTTTAAAAACCAGAAGATATGACAACCCTAGACCTTGGTAACAAACATTCAGTTACCCGTCGACTGGTCCAGTGAGTCCACTGGGGCACCTGTTCTTGAGTCACCAGCCTGGTGTCACCAGCCTGAGTAGTGGACACGACTCTGCAGCACAAGACACAGAAACCCAAGATCTTCCTAACGCTAAGAAAAGCCAGACTGCCTACTAAGAAGCAGCAAATGACAGACACTTCTGCGATAGATTTTAAAGGGAACCTCTGATGTAAGCACACCTTAGTGACATTCTTGATCCAGTGCCCATCTCAAAACAGTCTTGAGAGACTTGACCAATTTGGAAACCATGTCAAGGCCGCTCTCTTAAGTCCTTGTGCTTGCTTATGAATTCCCAAGGCAGTTCCAGTCCTAGGAAGTGATTCTCAGAATTATTTTGGGACTCTTCGGAGTTCATTCATGAGCCAAAGGGCACCACTGAGCAGAGCCAGGGAGCCTGACTGGTGTGTGGCAGCCAGAGGAGTTGGAACATACATAAGCAGAGTGCTAATGCCCAAGGCCACCTGTTGTAGAAGGAGAAGAAAGGTAGAAATACTGAAAGTGACTGCACGTGACCAGACACACACCTCCACAGTCTCGTCAGAACATTAGGAAGCATGTGTCTGACCTAAGTAAACAGAAAACAGTGAAACTCAAACAGAAATGGTAGACCTCAATTCCCCTTAGTGTCCTCTAACCACTCTTTATTTTCCTTTGGGAATGTGTCTTACTCTAGGCCATGCTGGCCTGGAACGCATGGTTCTAGCAATCCTCTTCCTTGGTCTCCTGAGTGCTAGAATTATAGGCAGGAGCTACCATACCCAGCTTCTACCTGTCTTATTCCACACTGGTAGTTAGCATTACCAGTTTCTATATGCCTTACTTTCATATATATTGAGATACATATTTGAGATATGTATGTTGAGAGATACATGTTTTTTGTTTTTGTTGGAGGTAGTTTCTCTGTGTAGCCCTGGCTAGCCTAGAACTCACTATGTAGACCAGGCTAGTCTGGAACTCACCTGCCTCTGTCTTCCAAGTGCTGGAATACACAGATACATAGAGTTCTGTGTTGTTAAAAATGTTCTGTCCCTTGAGTTTCCTTAAACTGCTGTGCAGTATTCCATAGCAAAGACACCATGCATGGTTGTTTGTTTCCAATTTTAATCAGCACAATTCCAAGTTTCCTCACACTAAGTTCTTACTATATTAGGTATTTCTAAGGCATATACAACCGTCAGTTTTCTGGACCAAAGCATTATATATTATATATATCACATATATTATATTGTCTAATTGCCCTCTGAAGAAAGCTAGTATAGAGTCATGGTCTCACCAAGAATATTAAAACATCCATTTTCCTATACTTATGCTAATAACATTATCTCTTTGCCTGCTTCCCGCACATTCAAACTTGAGCTCTTCAGAGTCATAAGCACAAAATGATATCAGTTGCTCCTCTCTGATATTAAGAAGCTGTTGTGTTTAATAGCCATTTGTCGTTCTTCTTATGACAAAGTGTACTTACACCTTTTTCATGATTAATCTACCATTAACATTAACTTGGGGGATGGCATGAGATCAAGAAGGGCTCTGTACCTGTGCATATGCCAGAGCGAGCAGAGTCACTGCTGCTGTCTTGGTCCTTCGAGGAAGGGGGATTCTCCGGGACAGGAAATAGAGCACTGTAATGGCAGTGACGGACGTGATTCCCTAGGGAAAGAAGATTATCATCATGCATGCTAGGCTTTCCGCCACACTGACTCCCGTTCAACTCCTACCTCTCAGGAACCCTGAGCAACCAGGGAGACCTGTACTGGGCACAAAGAACACTGTTCCACCCCTGTTGTACCTCATTAGCATCACCCACAGTCCTCTTCTGCTTGAACTGAGGTGGTACTGTCCACCCAGGGTACCCTCTGAGTTTGTGTTTACTACTTTATACACATTTACCTTCCCTCGGGTAAGAGCCTTGCCTTTTAAATCAGACCACGTATCTTTAGCTGTAATTTTGTATCTAATTTTAAATTCCTTTTTTCAAAGGTTTATCTTACGTGCATGGGTGTTTTGCATGCATGCATTTCTGTGCACTATGTACATGCGGTGTCTGAAGCACTACCATCTCTACTCACAGAAAAGGGTGTTGGAGCCTCTGGAACCAGAGTTAGTGTGAGCCCCCATGTGGGTGCTGGGAACTGAACTTGGGTCTTCTGCAAGAGCAACAAGTACTCTTAACCACTATTCTTAAAGCAGGGCTGACCTTAGCACATAAAGGGTTTAACTTTCCTGGGTTGTGAGTAGAGATGGTAGTGCTTCCAGCTGGTAAAAACAATGAAAATCTTGGTTTTAATTATACCAGGACAAGGGTCTATGGTTGGCAATAAGGTTTCTTTTCCATCCATGCCAGAGAGAATGTTTTCTGTCATATTTTTATATGTTTCAAAACAAGCCATGGGGCAGATTCAACCATACTTTATTTATGCTAAAATACTGTGTAGGGGTGGGGACTAAGACTACCTGGGAATGTCAGCCCTGGCCCATGGATTTGCGTCCTCTCTGCATCTCCTCATCTATCATCTCACACTCAGCATGCCTCCATCTGATGTCTTCCTGACTTTAGCTTAACACTCACTCTAGAAGTTCCATTTCTGCTGGACATGTTTTATGAATGCTTCAGGAGAAACTCTGGGGTCTCCTTTGATCTCTTTTTACATGTATTCCTAACAGCTAATCTTAACTCCATGTTCCTTTAAAGCTCCGCTGAGATCCTCCAGCTATCAAGGTTTTCCACTTATGTCTTGTTCCCTGTGACCATATTCTGCTTTCTCTAACAACACTGGGGTTTCCTGGGTACACCGGTTCACCACACTCAGGCTGCCAGGTCAGTCTTAGTACTGTTCTCACACTGTCAGTACCTATGGGCTTAAATAAATGGAAACGTATTAATGAAGCACCTCCGGGGCTCTTCCAAGCTGTGTGCTCAGCCAAAGACTATAGTCTGTTCTCTAGTCAACCGCATCTCGCTGAAATGACATTCAGGCGTATTCAGGATGAGGGGGTTAGTATTAACTTGCCTATCTGATTTTAAGCTAGAATTTGGGTGTAATGACAAAAATGTCAGATTATTAGACATCCGGTCAGTCCTAGAATTGCTTCCAAAGAACAAGCAGCTACTGCTGTGCTAACTGCAGCTGCCAGTGCCTCACTGGCACCCCCGAAACGTGTGTGAGGGTTCAATGCCCAGTGCCTCACTGGCACCCCCGAAACGTGTGTGAGGGTCCCGATGCCCAGTGCCTCACGTCTCACTGGCACCCCTGAAACGTGTGTGAGGGTCCCGATGCCCAGTGCCTCACTGACACCCCCAAAACGTGTGTGAGGGTCCAATGCCCAGTGCCTCACTGGCACCCCCAAAACGTGTGTGAGGGTCCAATACCCAGGGCCTCACATCTCACTGGCATTCCCAAACGTGTGTGAGGGTCCTTATGCCTCACACCTCACTGGCATTCCCATGTATATTAGGGTCCCAATGCCTCACGTCTCACTGGCACCCCCGAAACGTGTGAAGGTCCCGATGCCTCACGTCTCACTGGCACCCCCGAAACGTGTGTGAGGGTCCCGATGCCCAGTGCCTCACACCTCACTGGCACTCCCAATGTGTATTAGGGTCCCTATGCCCAGCAGTACAGACCAACACACTTACCAGAAGCCGGTGATCAAACTGTACCATGGTGGGGTTCTCAAAAACATTCTTCAGAATGGGAGAGAAGGTAAGGAGGTCCTCTGGGATCCAAGAATCTCCCATTTTGGGGAAGGAGTTGTAAACAAGCCCAGCATCCAGCCCTGCTACAAAAGCCCCTGCATGCCAAGATACACAGGACTTCTCAAAATAAAGACCAAATATTAGCTCTGAACACAGAAGTCTCCTAGCCCAGAGCTAGACAAAGGAACTATTTGGAGGATAATAGAAAAATAGGCAATTGGGCTTCTCGGGTAGAGAACATACATCACACTCTCCACAGGAACTCAGCAACACCTCGAACCCTTACCTGCTCCAATCCCAAGACTGTAGTGTGTCTCTGCTAGAGAGCAGAAGCTCTGGAGGAGATGTCTAGTCATTGGAAAAGTCCTTGTTTTGGATTCTGTGTCCTTCCTGTCCCTAACTTCTGCTGATCGAGCTTGGAACTGTACCCCTGACTTCCTCAGTCTGCCCCATGCTCTGACGTGGGAATCTTCTGCCCGTTCCTCCCCCTTCATCCTGCTTGATTTTCCGAACAGCACTGAACGTTACCGGACGTGCTTTGGTTGTACTTTTCTGTCTTTCTTCCAAGGATTCAATAAATATTGGTTGAAGGAACAAAGAAGATAGAAAAATTTTTTTACAAACTTACAAACTAAACCCTGGATGAGCACAAAAAGAAGGCAGGTGTGAATGGATGGATGATCGATCCATTATTACCAACAGAGTCAAAGAAATGTGAATCATTTTTGTAAACATGACTTACAAGATCAAAATACACATTATATAGGAAAGAAATGGAGAGCAGAGAATCAGGGGTGGGTGCTCTTGGTTTGAGTTAATGTCATTTTCATGACCAAGCAGTGCTGTCC